TTCACTTCTCTGCTTTGAATATTTCAAATGAGCAACTAAAACGTTTGACTAATTTGACCTTTTTGARCTTTTCCTTTTAGTTTTACATACTCCCATTTCAACTGCTTCCCTGGCTTGTAGCTTATTTTTTAAACCTTGCATTAAAAATTAAGCGTTTTTGTATAAAATTACTTACTTGAAAGAGTTTGTAAAAGTGTTTAAAATAAATCCCACTAACGTTAATAGTTTTATTTTARTTTGTTGTCATCTTTTTCTTATTAAGTGTYATGTAATATATGAATATTTTTAATTATATTGCTTATTATCAAAATAGTAAAGTAAATCTGACTYATAATCCTGTCATTCACCTTAAAGTTTAAATTAACCTCCAGAGGCGATGAGATAAACTTTCCCTTGGGATCAAACTTATGACTCCATCTTAAACAAAGCCTTWAAAAAAGGTTTTCCAGCCTCTTGATGTTTAAACAGTTGAACTTCTACTCTACTTCCTGCTCCGTTGCCATAGACAGCAGCTCTCATGTGACCAGCAGCTATTCAGCTGTATGAAAGAAAAGAACAAATGTCTCTCTCTGTCCACCAATCACAATCCTCCACCTTGCGTCGTCGACATCACTGTACAGTATTCGGTCGACATTTTCCCTCCATTTTCTCCTTCCTCTCCCCAGACTTCCTCGGCCATCTACCGCTTGAAAAACACCGTTAAAGGCGACCCGGAAAGCGTGTAACCGAACGCCTTCGACTTCGTGGAAACTCTCTGCTCTGTGAAGTCCCGCTTTGCCTCGACTTGCWACTCTACCTCAGAGGCAGGAAAAAAGAAAGAAAAAAAATGGATGAGCAGACATTTTACGTCCGACTTGCTTCCACTTCCCAACAGAAAGCGCCAGAAGCGGGCAGAGCTCAGTCAAATCTCCATCTTGAAACGTCAAAACACAAACAGTAACTCGTCAAATAATAGTTTACTGATAAAGTTTTCAAATCGGAAAAGTGCACAAGTGTGTGCCATTAAACTGATAAGCTGTTAGATGTTTAATTGTTAAGCGGGTTCATACCGTAACGCTGTGGATGTCTCCCAGTGAAGCTGCTTTTAACGCTCTAAARGAGCGAGTCGGCGTCTGTCTGTATGTCCTTTGACAAGCCTGGCAGTTTGCCTTTACCTGCCCCAACTGGTCTATCCAGTTTAGGAATGAGCGTTGGTCTCTATTGTTTCGTCTTCTTTTTCTCCGGTTAAATGGAGTTGGAACATGATACATTATTATTTCCACCTCCCATCGAAACTACCTTAAACCCTCCTTTATCCGCTCGCGAGCGCCGAGGGCTCCGTGCAGTGACCTAATTTGTTTGCCACACATTTTGCCTTCGTAAGATTAATTTTCTTAAAAGTTTAAACTACTGTACCGTTGAGCGGCGAGCCGTGACGACAGCTAAAGACTTAGGAGATGGGGAATGAAGACAAAGAAGGGATCACGTTTGTGATTTTTACCCAGTCTTTCCCAGGTGTGGTCACCGAGCCAGAAACCCAAGACAAGAGGCATCATTGTATCAGGGTTCTTGACGCCCCGTTGGCTAGTCTTCCTCTTTTCTGCTCCCGCTGAAGGACAGTTGACCTCTGGAGTGGTGAAACAAATGAAAAAAAAGCTGTCCTTCTCAGGTAGACACCGTGGAAAGAAGCCCCCGGATCAAAACCAACCAGCTCGTCGCTTATCTTCCCTTCGTCGAAGCAAAACTTCTTGTTTTCCATGAGCTCTCCTTGGTGGTGTGAAGCGGTTAAGCTCCTCAAGAAGACAGAGGCTGAGTTTGTAAAGGGCTTGGTTTACATGTAGTCTGACCCCCCCTCCCCCTCTTTTCCCCCACAGGTGTAATTTTCAGTTTCCAGCCAATCTCCTTAGCCTCTGGCGTTCACAGGTGTGTCCCCCGTGCCGCCTTCAGCCAATGGTGGAGGAGACGAAACTCCCCCCCCCACCCCCGCGCAACTCCTCCCACCCTCTGACTCCCACCTCACCGGTTAGTTCACCTCCACCCTTCTCATCAGCCCCCAGGTACCTTGTTGTGTTTTTTTTTATGATGTCAGCTCAAGCTTCTGTGGGAACGACCTCCTCTGTTCGCATTACAGCAGCGACAACCGAACCTCCGTCAGCCCAAACTGCCCGAACACACCCCATCGCATCTCCACAAAGACAATRTGTCCCAAAACCCATCAGAAATACACGAGTAGAGCTTTTAAAAATATATATCTAAAGTATTATCACATGCATCAACCCTTACCYACATAAGCCTGCTGTAACCTGAAATACCTGCCCTTTGCTTTGGCGACTTCCCGTTGCACCTCTTTGTGTCCAAACACCTTTTTTTTGTTGTTCTGAGACAATAACCCAGCTGAGTTACAGCAAGAACGGGTGAACAAAGTGCAGGTGAGTAAAACCTGAGAAAGACACACCAGCAGTTTTAGTTCAGTTTGAGGAGTAAGAGGTGGAGGAACAGCGGGGACAAAAGGCCTGTTGGAGATTTAACCCCCCCACCCCCCTCAGGGCCCAACTGTGGGGGGACCAAAATCTCAAAGCCCGTTCCGAGTTTAGCTGGATGCTTGGCAAGGCGGTCACTTTCGGTCTTGAGGTGTAATTGTCGGGATTAGACCCTGAACAATGAGCACAATGCCAGGGATGGATCCTGTTTCAGCCGAGGCGTGGCAGGGGCCGCTGCAGAACCACGCTGGCAAAAGATGGAGGAGAACGAATGTTTGGAGTTATGGGCCTCAAACACAAACAGGTTCATGCGAAAGAATGATTTGATAATAACATCTTTAAGTTGATCAGCTTTAACTGTTACATACTGTAGTTTAAACAACACATCAACTGATGCAGCAGGTTTTTCTTTAAGTTTTCCTTTATGTCCAATAATTTACAACAAAGTAGATGCAGGAAATCCATCACTGTTGTGTGTGCTAACAGAAAACATGACTCTGTATTTTACGTTCATAGCTATGAAAGTAAAACTATTAAACTTAAAGGCCCAACATTATTTCAGAGTAAATTTCATCCTAAATACTTCCACTAAATTTATCCTAAAATGAGAAAGGAATGAGGTAAACCCGCTTCTGTCAAACCTTGACGTCAGTAATTCCACGCTCTAGTGCATGATCTGTCAGCTACTACAACACCAACTATAACTCAGTATCTGTCAGAGGTCTATAAAGTACTTGAGAAAAAAAAAACAAAAGTAAAATTATCAGAAAAGGACTTTTGGTAAAAAATTAATTTAACTGATAAGAAAAGTACTTGAGTAAAAGTTTTAAAACTGTTCACAAATATTGGGAAAGTCAAAGTACTTTTACACACTCTCTAAGACATAAACTGTTGAACCAAGTTGATTTCACTRAACCAAGCTGAGTAAATTGAGCTATATACATTATGTTAAAGAAAATACATATATTACGTCATATTTCCTACAGGGACATTCAACTGGCAGCCTGCGGGCCACATCCGGCCTGCGAGTGACCAAAGTTCGGCCCCCAGTTTTCTACTTTAATTACTATTAGTTCTTTTAGCCAGAAGACATGTTTGGTTTCTACAGAAATGTCGGAATCTTGGCAACCATTTCTATGAATATCCAAGACAGTTAAAACTACTAGATAAAACTATGAAAGCAAAAATAAAATTGGTTTAAAAATTTGGCAAGTCAGAGATGTCAAATTAATATAGGAGGCATAATGTGTTATTTTTGTTTTGATATTGTTTTATTATCGCTACTTTTATTACACAGGGTTCTCTATGTTGCATTCATGATTAAATGCAGCAAAATAAACTATTTCAAAAAAAGAAATACTTGSTTTATTTACATAATGACTTTAATTGCTGGATGTTCGGCCCCTTAGCTGTTGGCCTGCACTGTGGCCCCCAGAGCAGCTGAATAGCCCTGGTTTAGTGGAACCAGTTGACATGACTTGGTTGAGTAAATTCAACTCTATTTTTTAGAGCGCATGAACAACTCTATTCACAATGAGTTCAAACATAATTAATATGAAACTAGGTGTAGAAGTAAAAGTAAAATACTTTGTAAAATTACAAATCATAATTAGCAAAGTATCGTAACGAAGTAAATGTACTTAGTTACTATAAATCTCTTCAATTAAACTTGATTAATATCGAACTATCATTTATGATTTCATTAACCTAACTGATTTGGTGATTGTAAGGTTTAATAGTTATCTAATATTTTCTTTCACATTGTCAGACTTTAGGCAAAGCTCAGATGTTTCAGAAGGAACAGGTAGTGAGTTTTTCTGCTCTGAAAGGTTTGCTTTGTTTAGACTTTTCATTTGCATACCAAATGAGTTTTGGAGTGAAGCACAGAGGCCTGACCTGAACTCATTTGGCTACTGATGGATATCTGGTCAGGCAGTCACGCAAGACAGGATGTCAGAACATCCATCTGCAGGACCGAAGCAACAGCTCGGGCTCCACAACAAACACAGGGACACAAAGGCAAATATGTTTGCTTGCAGATGGTCGCGCACCAAAGCACAAACAGTTCTGATCACTTTTTTTTCACACATTGCTTGTTTGTCACAATCAAGTTCCCAATTTTTAAATTAGACTTCTATAATGCAGCGGGTGGGGTTGAGTTTGATTTGTGTTTTATCGGTGCCTCACTTCTCTAAATGTGCTGCATCAAAAACCCTCTGTTGCACAACACCCGAAGCACAACATGATTAAACAATCCACATGCAACTTTAAAGTGTTGCCAGCATTTTCGCTTTCACATTCGTTCTCTCAGAGCAGCTCTGACAAACCGAGCAGAAACACAACGCAGGTGCGAAAACAGATAGATGGAAATGTAACGAGGAGTTGGAGATTGTCACCTCAGACTCTCCTTCCTCTTTCTGCATTAGTTTGAGATTAAACATATATCAGCACAAACCACACGGCAAAAACGAACCAAGTCTCATAATCTTTTATCACCCGAAACGTTTTTTTGATCTTGTTTTGAGAGCAGAGTGTGTTTGTATCTTAAGCGACAATTTCCAACCAGATTAATAATCTGACACATTCTGTTCAGTCTCAAAACAATATCAAAGATATTTTTTTGGGTGATAAAAGATTGTAAGACTTGGTTAAATGYACACTTCTTCCAGTGCAACAGTCTCACTGATATTTAAAATGTTTACCTCCCAACATGACATTTAACCCTAGACACTCAAAACAAAGTGAAGCACATAAGAAACTGTTATCTAAAGAAATCATTAATCAAATTAACATGTTTACACACTGACAATAAAAATCTAATAACTCATGCAAACCTTTTCACCTTCATGTGTCTTAAAGTCAAGAACACACATACTGTTAAAAGGACAAAATATTTTTTACTTTATGACACCTACAAAACTCAGTTTTTCCATTCCACTCATCTATGGAACACCATAATGCTCATAAATAAAATTAATAAAACATGAAATAAGTATCTATATAAGCTGATTATTACAAAAATGTTTAATTCACCTTTAAAATGTGTTGATTAATATAAAACATTATTTTAATATTAATTTTCTCACAATAGAAAAATAATTTTTGAGGCTTTTTTATTTAATTACAAAATGTTTTTTACAGTTACCTTTTATTTAATAATTGTATTTTTTTCCAATAGCTTATTTATTTTAAGAAGAAACTTTTCAGCAGAATGACTTTGTCTGTCAATCAAGAGAAACAAGGCAGAGCCAGTTGTTTTATTGGCTGTTCCTTTACCCAGACAAAAGTAATCACATACCGATATCGAATTATGCCTAAAGATGCAATTCATACTCCTGCACACTAGGCCGTAGGGTGGCACTTRGACTACAGCTGTAGCTCAGATAAACGTTGTACAGTGTGCAATTCTGTCATCAATTGTGGCCTTTGAACTAGTAAATCATTGCTAGCTGTAGAAGCTAAGCGATGTGCAGGGGATAGCCAATGGGTGTGCAGGTCCAACCCACTAATGATGATTGACAGATGGAATCATTCAAATAAATAAGCTGTTGGGAAAAACACCATAACGAAATAAAAGATGATTTTGTGAAAAAGGACATTTTGGAATTGAAACAGCTGGAATTAAATAAAAATGCCTCAAGAATAATCTTTATTGTAGTGGGAAAAAATTCACTGTTTTATATCATGAAGAATGAAAAATTTTCATAATAATGAGCTTATTGTATATGCATTAAGATATTTCACAATTACATTGTCACGATATATATTTATCTATTATTTATTCTTATACTTATTTAATAATGTTTTATTTATTTATTAAATAATGAACATTTTGGTGTTCCGTACTCAGCTACCTGATATTTTTAAAGTGCAGTTTTTAAAAAATACCCTGTGTTGCCGTTCTGATTCATGCTGACATCTTTATGATTCATCACCTTCAGGTCTCAGCTTCATGTTTWACTCTGAGCCTGAATGGCTTCCTGCACACATAGCATCATATATTTTAAAGTTCTATAAAGAAAAAGTAACTGTGTATATATGAGCATATAAAAAATACCCAATGAGCCTGTCTTGTGCCGAACCTCTCAGCGGATAAATGAACGGCAGTCTTGGAGCGGCACCATCACTTGTGAGATTGTGGGGGTTGGACACAGTGACTCATGTTTGTTTTATATTTAGCCATGTTCTGTTTTAGGACATTTCCACGTTGCCTTTAATAATTTGCAGCCAGTGTCCAAGGTTACTCATAAAGTTAGACACGTATCTCCCCCTCGAGCCCCCATGATGCTGCTTTTATTATGCTTAGCCAACTGAAAATCACAA